AAAAGGGGAAGAATCCATATCAAGCAATGACAGCTACCATTTGAAGAGCTGCACTGGCACAAGGGAAAATAAACTATCAGACACCAGTAAGTTTAGCCTGGATATTAAAGGACTATTTCTAGCTATCCTAGGATTGAGATCTTGGAACAGTCTCTCAGATGAGACAGCAGGCAAAGACCATGAGTTGTCTGGAAATGGGAATTCACCAAGCTGGAGCTGGAAGGTACCCACAGGGGTCATACGACGAAACAGGAATTTGTTAGTACAGTGGAACGAAGCCATTCCCTGTGGCTACAGCATTTGTCTGAGAAAGCCACAAAAGAAACTGCGTTCTTATATGTTCTGTAATTTGGCATCTGGGTTTTTCCCTTCCTTTGAAGGGAACACCCCTAAACACAGGACGTAAGTAGCATATGCTACAGCTGAGTCGCTCGCCTGGTTCATGTATCCTGCTAACACCCCCAGCAGTTCAACTGTTGCCAGATTTGGGATCAGAAGGAAATTCTTCCCCTCCACCAGGCTGGAAGCACTGTGGGATGGAGCAAGGAGCTACCCTCCTTCACAGTGCAGAGCAGGCCAGATACCTGGGGGCTGTGTTACACCAGCACCCCGTGTCAGCCACTGTCCTCACTCTCCCATTCCCAAGCTGTTTTTCACACCCTTAAGGGCACGCTAAGAAGATCAGTGGACCTTCCTGAGCTTTCCACAGCCCCGGGGAAGGCCACTGCAGGGTAACACAGCCTTTAGTCCTATGTGTTTATGGTGCTACATGCCCACAAGCACTGCCCAGCCTACAGCCTCACTCAGCAGTGTCCCTGCCAACGGCCAGACTCACACACTGGTAGAACTCCCTGTAGCGGCCCCTGGTCATGGCTGGGTTGTCCCGCCTGTACACCTTCGCGATGTGGTAGCGTTTAATGTTGGTGATCTTGTTCATCGCCAGATAGCGAGCGAAGGGGACCTGAGATGGTAGGGTTAAGGATGGGAACAGGGAGGGATCGCCTCACCCAGCTAATCAGTCACAGGCAGTGCTGGGTCCTCACTATCTCCCCAACACTCAGCACAGCGTGGCATATACCCGTGGGGCAAAGCAACTGCTAAGAGATGGCTGGACTTGCCACAGCTCCCCAGGGTCTCCACAGCTGTCCAAGACACGGCCCACACATGCTTGTCCCTACAGGCATCTTCCAGCACCACCTGCAGTTGGATTTCAGTCTCATGCAGGCTGTCTACCACAGCAGCCTGGTCTGGGTACCCTGCTGCTGGAGAAACCCCACTCAGTACAGACCTTCCTTACCTCCACATACAAGTGTCACTTTGAGGAACAGAAGTAACGTACAGTAAATAACTGAGCAAGGGTTCTGTACCCACTGAACCACACTGCCTGCTGAAGCTCTCCCTCGTCAGTACAGAGCCAGAGCCAAGAGACTGCCCTCCCTCCTCCTCCCTTCCCCTCTGGACAGCACTGCTCCAGAAGGAGGGCAGCAGAGGTGACAAGACCCCTCAGCACTGGCTGTGGCAGGATACTGTCAGGTCATAGCGCAGGGACAGCAGCTCTCCTCCTTGATCTTTCAGATCGTAGATTAGCTTCGAGTCTTCACCATATTTCCCCGTCAGCGTCTCCTACAACAAAAGGACACAGGAAGAAACAGCATCTTCAGTGACAGGGGATCAGCCCTAGAGCACACAGAAAAGGAAAGAAAGGGAGGACACCTAGGAGATGGAAGAAAACTCAACCCTCAACACATCACAAGCTTCCAACTGCAGGATCCTCATCAGCTCAGCCAACTTGCTGTGTCCTCACTCACCTTCAGCTCAAACACCGGCGTATCAATGACTTCTGCTCCATGGCGCTTGAAGCAGGTGATAATCACATTGAAGACTCTCTCACGAATGGCCATTTGCTTGGGGCTGTAATCCCGTGTGCCCTGGGGTGAGATAGGAAAAGAAGAGCAAAGGGCACATTGGGTTAGAGGCATGCAGTGGAGATATACATGAGAGGCAATGTGAAGAAGCTATCATACGGCTAAGAAAACCACAGAGGTCAGGTCCAGATACCAGGCAAAGTGGTAAAAAGCAGCACCAAAAAAATGCTGGAAAACATCAGAACACAGCTCAGACATGATCTGCCATGGTCTGCAGAGCTAAATCTAAGCCAAGAGTTTCAGAATTCAGGAAATAGAGCAGCTAATACAGATCCAACAGTCAGAGAGTTCAGTGCTTTCAAACAAGATGACAGCACAGCCAGGATCTGTCCACAGCTCTGATTCAGACATATTAGCCAGACCCCTGCACAACAAACCACTCTGAGAGGTGGAATCAGTGGACACGCACGCTTCAAAGCTGGGGAACAACCAACAGCTTTACAATTTCCAAGTACACACACAGAGAAATCACCTTTCCAAAGTGTTATACCTGTGAAGTGCCCATCTACGGTTCACTAGGATGTGCTTCTTTTTCATTTCTTTGCTGTTAAGCGTCACTGAATTATTTCGATGACCACCCTCAGGCTCTCAGCAACACATACATCACTGCTAATTAACTAGACCTCTCGTTTTCATTTTCTAGGGACTGGAAGTTAGGCAAGAGGAACCAGAGCAGGAACTTGCTAACACCCCACCTGCAGGTCGCAGAGTGAAGAGCAGCTTTCAGCAGTACACTGACGTGGCTGAGATAGGCTGGAAACCCCAACTGTGCTTCCCTGGCCCTCCCAGAGCTGCAAAATCCGTGAACGGCTGCATGGTGCTTGGTTGCCCTCTGGGCTCAAATCATGGCATCCTCTCTCCACATCTTTAAACAGTGAAATACCCTTCCACTTTCCAGATCTCACACCTCAATCACATTTACCAAAACATATGTTAAGGGAATTGGACAAGGAAAACAGATTTGAGACATTTCATAAATCAGTGGCATTAACAAACTGCTTTATTTGTGCGCAACGTTCATAACTGTCTCCACACCACAGTATGGAAGTGCAGTTAGTCTCTGGTCAGCTGCTAGTGATGTAACATTCAGGTCACAAAAAATTTCAGCATAAATTGCATTATGGACACTATTCTGAGGGGCCTGGAGACTGAAAACCAACCCCTGAAGGAAGGGTCCTTCTGCAAGAGGATACAGAAATGTCAGCAGCTGGCCAGGCCTGCTCAGTAAACAGGATTACCCACTCCCAGAGACTAAGGCAAGATCAAAAGCCATGAGAGCTTTCTTGCTCCCCACATTTCAACATGTGCTGCATTTCTGGCAAACGCTGCCATGCATCTGGGTTTCTTTGGCTGGCTTCAGCTTTGCAGTTCCCCCACAATGACCCTCGCAGCAGCAGAGCTGCACTTCGCAGCACTCCCACCTACCACACACAGCCTCCCAGCAGCTTCAACCACTCTGTGCAGCTTAACAGGGAACAGGACCAGCCTGAGGACCCTTGATCCATGGGAGCCAGTGTCTGCAGGTACTAGCAGGGTCAGTGCTACAAGAGCTCAAGATTCCTAATGTTAAACTCATTGGGGCAATGCAAGTCATGACATTACTTCAAATAGCGCAATCCAAGCAGATATGAGACTTCTCATGCTGGGCAGCTACAATAAAGCTTGACCAAAAGAGAATTTAATTTCCTGACCACACCAGCTAGTGGTTGGCTTGTCACAGAAGCCCCAGAAAGCCTTTCAGTTAGTAGGGTATCTGGATCATATGCTGTCAGGGATGTTTCCACCCCTTTCTCCCCTACTGCTAAAAGAAAAAAGGGAAAGAGAAATGAAAAAAACACAGGCAAGTTTGTGCTGAGACTTTGCAGACACAGGTGCATGGGGGAGTGCTGTGTGCATGCACAGGAGTAGATTGTATGAGAATGCGTGTGCTGGGGGAAGTTACCTTCGGGGTCTTAAGCACAAACTTGTGTTTTCCCTCATCTCCCCCCAGGTGCGCCTTCATCTCCAGCAGTTTTGCCACCTCCTTCGCAATCTGGGGAGGAAACAAGGAGGGAGCTGTGGGTAAGCCTACCTGCCAGGCCCAGCCCACAGACCTTCCCCAATACCTTCAGCCTCAGCATTCCCAGTACACCCCGACGTCCCAACCTCAATACACCCACGATTTCCAGTCTCCCCGAACAACCAGAGGGGCACTCCCTGCTCTTAGCCGGTACTCCCCACTTCTGCTACAAACACCCCAGTCTCAGCACCCCCAACACCACCACCATCCTCTGACTCCCTCAACCTCCACTACCCTCAGTATCTGCCTCCCCACACCTCCCAGTCTCTGTATCACCACCAGGCCCAGCACCACCAGCTCCTGCTACGTGCACCCCAGCATCAGCAGTCTCCAGCATCCTCCTAACGCCCCCAAGCATCCTTCTCTCCAATTTAACACCAGTATTGCCAGTCCCCACTCCCCGTCTCCCCTGCATCCTCTCCCCAGCCCACAACAGAAATACCATCCCCCTCAACACCCCTCTTTCCAATGCCACCAACCCTAGCCCAACACCACCTACACCAGTACTCCCGGTTCCCCCCACAGCACCCTCCACCTAAGCCCAGGAACCCCAACCACACCTCAGTCGCTTCAGCAGCGCCCTCTCCAGCCCAGCACCAGCACCCCCAGTTCCCCCACGCCACCCCCCCCAGCGCTCCACTTCCCTCCGTCACACCAGGCTCCCAGTCACACTGGTCCACCCCCAGGACCCCGTTTCCCAGCAACCCCCGAGCCCCTTCTCCCCAGCCCCCTACCCGGAGCCCCAACCAGCCCCTTCCCAGACCCGCGGCCGGGCGCTGGCACCAGCAGCACCTCGTCGGGATCGGCTTTATCCTGCTTGAGCCGCCGCACCGTCTCCGCCTGCTCCCGCACCGCCGCCGCCTCCGCCGCCATTGCCGGCCCGCGCCTGCGCGCTGCGCTGCCCCGCGCCTGCGCCCTGCCGGGCCGCGCCTGCGCACTGCGGCGCCTCCGCCAAGAGAGGGGCGAGGCGCCACTCCCGCCAAAACCAAGTGCGTGCCCGAGGGTTGCGCTTTGCCTTTTTTTTTTTGTTGTTGTTGTTTTATTTCTCAATATATAAAAATACAGAGTTCCTCCATGCTCGCCCCACCAACCGCTTGTTGTGCTCCCCGTCCGCCGCCGGAGCCCGGCTGCAGCCCGGGGCTGGCCCTCAGCCCCTGTGAGGGGGTGTGGGGGGGCGGTGGTGGCCTTCCACTGCCACCACCTCCCAAATCCTGAACCGGCGGGTGCTGCCCCGCACGCCAGATTCCCCCCACCGACCCCGGCTGAGCGCTGGTACATCCACCCGTGCCTGTGCCCCCACCTGCAGTGGGTGGGAATGGCTGTACAGGGACAGGCACTGCAGTATTAGGAACCCACGGGACTGACCAGTCCTTCAGAGCAGTTAACCAGTAGGTTTAACCTAGCGGCTTCGCTGTCCTTAACTTAAAACAATCCGCCCGCTCCTTTCCAAGCGGGTATCTCATGTTGACCCTGCCTTAGCCCAGGCAGATGAGCCTCGGGTTAGTAGATGGTGACCAGACTTCAGTGGAAAGTGCCTGGCTAAGGGCAACTGGAGGGTTCCAGCTGTACAATGGTTCAGTCAAGTATCTCTGGCCAGAAAAGTCCTAAGGCTCCAGTCTTCTTCTGATCTCATCAACAAGCTTTTCTCTTGGGATATCAACCTACAAAGCAAACAGAGAGGAAGAGGTAGCAGCACTGGAACCCTGAGTAGCGCACAGTTCAATCTTGGCTCTAAGGACCTGCTGTGGATACCAATGCAGTTTGTGACTCGTTTTTTGAAGCAATCACCCAACAGATCTGTGCTACAGCTCCCCAGAGGAACAATGTCGCTGAGGGAAAACCCAGAACTGCTCAATGATCTCTAGATTTTGGAAGTACTTTTGAAACCTGGTGTAAAAAGGCATTCTCACCTCTTCTCTTGTTGCAACATCTCGCAACTTGACAACTCCATCTGTCAGCTCTTGCTCTCCTACAATGGCTGCAAGGGGTATCCCCGTGTTCTCACAATACTGCAGCTGCTTCAGCAGTTTAGGATCCTTCTTGTACAGCATCTCTGCCTAGGAGGGAGTGGAAAAGGTAAATCATTAATGCTAAATTTGCTCTGATGGATCTTGGAGAAAAACAGCCAGCACCAAAACCCCACAGAAAACTCTGCCTCATTATTCCTGCAGCAACCGGTTGCCTTTAGTGCTCTCAGCTGTTCTTCTCTGCTTGCTAGCTTTCAGACAGGCCCAGATCTTGAAGAGACACACAAGTAATGGAGTTGGTCTTGCTGTGTTACAACTCCCTTCAGGCTATCCCTCCCTCACCTGTACCACTGCCAAGTCCAAGTCCTTTACCTTGATCCCTGCGTCCCACAGCTCAGAGATGAGCTTCAGTCTTGCGGCAGTTAAGTGTTTCTGAGGTGTAGCCACCAGCACTTGTGTCTCAGTCGTTCGAACTTTCTCCCCAGAAGCCTGCAGCGACAGACACACTCGTGGGAGTGACTGGCTTTGAGGGAACCTGCAGCTCCCAACAGCAGCTCATCGTGCCTTACCTACAGAACTTAACTTAGCTCCCCAAAACAAGTATACTTAAAAGCTAACCACCACCATTCAGTGAATGTTACTGAGCAAGCCTAACCTTTCAGAAGCAAAAAGAGTGCACAGATAAGACAACCTGGGCACATGGAACGAGTCCCCAGAGAATCTGCATTGTGACACTCTACTTAATCACGTGCTGCTGTTCCCATGGGACCTTGGCCTTCCTCCCTCCCGCCTGGACGGGACCCAGACAGCTTTCCAGCGTCTCCTCTGATTCTTCAGATACAGACACATTGTCTCAGCCTCAGTTGCTATGAATCACAAGCTCAGAACTAAATGCAGAGTCATGAATTTCTTCATAGGCTTTCCCAGGGTGCTTATTACAGAGCGAGTGCCACAGCTGTTACTGAATTCATGGCTCCTCAGTTCTCAAGACAGAAAACTTCACAGGCAAGACACAAGAGCAAAGTGACTGGGGCACAAAGTTCAGAGCCAGGACCAGAGCTCAGGACCTGCCTCTAACGCTTCCTTGGCATCCGCTACGAAATGCTGCCCTCAGCTGCCCACACCTGCATCCTGATGAGATGCAGAAAAGGGCTCTGTCTTCTGTGCATGGACAATCAGGCACGACAGGAGCCACCCTTTCCCCCAAAATTCTTTCCCTTCAAACACCATGGAGCCATAGAGCTCCTGTTATAAATGATAGCTGGCTTCCTAGACCCCTCCCCCATGCACCACCTACCTTCACTCTCTGCTCTAGGATGGAGAAGATCCGCTCGATCCCAATGCTGACCCCCACACAGGGCACCTTCCGTCCCTTGGGATCAAACATCCCCACCAGCTCGTCGTAGCGACCGCCTCCGGCCACGCTCCCAACGCTGACTGGCTCCTCCATATGGTCGTTCTCCTGCTGCAGCAGCACAGCCTCATAGATGACCCCCGTGTAATAGTCCAGACCCCGCGCCAGGCTCAAGTCGAAAGAGATCTGTAGGACGCGAGGGAAGGCCCGTCACCGGGCGCACTCAGGGGGCCCAGCCTGCCCGGCCATGAGGCCAGCACCCCCTCCTGCCCCTGCACCTCCTCACCTTCCCCACGATGCCAAACAGGGTCAGGTACTCAAACAGCAGCTTCATGTCCCCCAGCCCCTCCTTGGCCAGCTTGTTCTGGGACAGCTTTGGGTCCTGGAGGAGCCGCTCAATCAGGTCCAGGCCACCTGTGGGAACGAGCCTCAGGTCTCCCAGCGCAGCAGCACCCGCAGCAAAGGGCCCGGCCAGCCGTGTACGCTGCCTTGCACCCCTCTGTCGCTGGCCCTCCCTGCCCGGCCTGGAAGAACAAGGCCGAGGGCTCGACCCCACAGCGCTCACCGTGAAGCTGGACGTACTCCCCAATGCGATCCGCAGCCTCGGGAGAGAGCCCCTTCTCTCCTACCATCTCGCTCCTCACTTCTTCCCACGGCATCTGCAAGGGGAGAGAACATCCACTGCTGCAGGACACTGTGTCCACCAGCCCTTGCATTCACAATATGTGCAGGAAGACAGCAGTTGGCAGTCTCACTAATGATCTTCGTCTCTCTCACAGAAATTGTTAACAGAAACCACTGTAAACACCAGGCTTTCTTCTTAACCACACCCAAGAGCTCCCCAAATCCTTTACAAACATCAATAGCTTGGCTGCTGTTAACATCCTTATGATGAGAACAGCCGCAACACTGTCCAGCCCAAGACATCCAACCACCAAGACTGGACGCGATCTCCCCCGGAGCACAACACTTACCTTGTCCAGCTTATCCATGGTAGAGCATGTAGCTATGAACTTGCTCTCTGGGATGCCACAGACGGCAAACACACCATTCAAAATCTGTCGGTGATTGACCTGGGGGTGGGAGAGACACATTTAGCTCAGGGGAGAATTCCCCCTGCCCCGGCCCCACCATTTCTTCTTGCTCTAAAGGTGTGGGAAGCTGCAGCTGTTGGTGTTTCCTCGTGCCTTTTCACCAGTGCCTCAATCCCATGGGAAAGGAAGGCGCAGAGGGATGAAAACCACTCAGCTCTGATCTCACCTTAATAACAAAGTCCCCAAGCTGCAGGTCACTCAGGATTTCGTGCACAATCTTCAGGCACTCGGCATCAGGAATCATTGGGTCAAACTGGCCAGCGATGTCAAAATCCTGGGGGCAGAAGAAGCAGCAAAGGCTCCCGGTACTGCTGAGGTGCTTCAGTTCCGCAAGGCACGCCACACAGCCCCACAGCAGCTGAAGGCAATCCAGCCACTAAAACCCACACAGGTCGCCCGCTCCGTCTTGGCCCCTCGCGTGGCAGCTGCCACAACACTCACACACTGGTAGAACTCCCTGTAGCGGCCCCTGGTCGTGGCCGGGTTGTCCCGCCTGTACACCTTCGCGATGTGGTAGCGCTTCATGTTGGTGATCTTGTTCATTGCCAGATAGCGAGCGAAGGGCACCTGGGCAGCCGAGGAGTTAAGGACAGGAATGTGGAGATCCCCTGAGCTGCAGAAAACTGACCGTCAAAGCACCCTGTCTCCCTTTCGCTTTGCCAGCTGCTCCCTTATCTATAGGGAGATCATCAACCCAGGTTGATGATGAGTACAATGAGCTCTTCCAACACAGGAAGAACTCCTTCTCTTTCTCCTGAACCACAGTAAGTCAACACCTCTACAAACACAGACCTTTGCGAGGTCATTTTGCTCTCTTATGGTGCAATTAGAGACAATCCAACACACAGATGTTAAAGAGGAGAGCTTTCAGGTGAGAGGTGGAGAAGGCTTGGGATGGACACCTGTTCTGTACCTGCAAAGACCGCTGCGCTCTCAGAACAACTGCTGAGGCACTGGGATACGCTGGGCAGGAGCTCACAGAGGTGGAAACTGTAACTGGGAGGAGGTAAACCAGTGCAGTGGAGCATACTGGTGCACGTCCACAGCCCACAGAAGAAAGGGCTGCTTTGCTGCGGATCCTGGATGGGCTGTGGGGTGGTTTGAGGTGGGGTCATGCCAACGGCAGCCAGACCAGCTTGGGGGGTGTCCACTGCTTGGCAGGAAAGGGGGTTTCTATCACCCCGATGGGACTGGCAGGCAGGGCAGGGCAAGGGTGACCCGGCAAGGTAGAGGTGGCGGTGACCTCGGTGTGCCCCCATCCCCTCCACAAGTCGCAGGGCGAGTGCAGGATACGGTCAGGTCGTAGCGCAGGGCCAGCAGCTCCCCTCCCTGGTCCTGCAGCTTGTAGATGAGCTTTGCGCCCTCCCCATATCTCCCCGTCAGCATCTCCTGGGGAGAAGTGAGAGGGCTGGCAGGGAAGCGAAGGACTGGGGCAGCTCTGCGGTGCAGGGTCGCCCAGGATGGGGGACAGAGCCCAGCCCCAAGCCCCCCAAGACAAGCAGAGAGTGCGGCATGACACACATCCCCCTCCAAGCCCCCTCTGACCTGGGGCAGAAGGAGGGTCCCCATCCCCCCACAGAATGGGGGCCCAAGTCCTACCCCCCACACGGGTGGAACCCCCAGCCCTGCCCCAAACCTGCCCCCTCAGCCCCGGGGAAAGGGGGGTGCCCCTCTGCCCCGCAGGAGGAGGGCGGACCCCACAGCCCCCCCGCCACGGGGAGCAGAGGGGGATGCCCCAGGCCCGGAGGGGATCACCCCGCCCCCCACCAAAGGGAAGGGGGGGTGTCCTGCCGCCCCCTCACCTGCAGCTCCAGCACGGGGGTGTCGATGGCGGCCGCCCCGTGCCGCTTGAAGCAGGCGACCACGGAGGCGAGAAGCCGGTCACGAAGCACCACGTGTGCGGGGGGGTGGTCGCGGGTGCCCTGCCCCGGGAGGGAGAGCGGCCGTCAGCGGCGGGAACGGGACGGGGCAGGGGAACAACGCCCGGAGGCCGCCGTTACCTTGGGCGTCTTCAGAACCGGGCCCGGGTCCGGGTCCTGCCGGGACAGGAGACCGCGGTCACCGACCGGACGGGGCGGCCAGAAGCGGGGGAAACTCGCGGGGCCCGCGGACAGCAACCGCCCGGCAGCGGCGAACAGGCCCCGCCGCAACATGGTGGGTCCCGGGGGCGGCCGCGCCACGTGACCACCCGCCGCCACCGCCTCGCGGCGCTCTAGGCCGGGGGTGGCGGGCACTCGCTGGTGCCTGGGCGGACTGGCTCGCTTTACGGCCCGGGAGCCACCGCGCGACAGTTTCCGTTCGCTCGTCGCCCACACCGTCAACATGGCGTCGGGCAGCGGGGTAGGTGCTGGGGGCGGTGGGGCTGTGTTCGTCGCTTTCTCTTTTGCTTGGTAGGCCCTGCGCCGTGTCGCAGGCGAGGTCGTGGCAGCTGGGGCTGTTCTGGAGGGACAGGCGGCAGGAAGGGCTTCCCCGCGGCGGCCGGGCCGTGCTTGGGGCCTGCCGGCGAGGCCGCGGCCTGAGGGGCCCCGCGGGTGGGGACGTGGCGGAGCCGGGGATCCCCCACTTGGGTAGGGACACGTAGGGAGGCCCCATCCCTGCTTTTCACACCGCAGTGCCGGCTGCTTGTGGGCGGTGAGAGATACGGGGTCCCCTGAGAGGCCCCGGTGCTTTCAGGGCTACAAAGAGGGTGGGCCCCCTCCCGATCTCCTCTTCCTAGGGCCAGGCCCCCCCCCGTGGGAGCCCAAATTTAAGCCAGGCTGCGTGAGGAGATCCGAACGTGCCCCTGGCTCCTGGGGGAGGCTGCCCACCCGCCTTCAGCCTCCTGGGGCTGGGCGATGGTGGGCGCTGGCAGCTCCTTCTTTCCATTCCCTTTCTTGACCTGCCCCGTTGCTTCTCGGTTCCTCTGGGAAAGTGTTGCTCATTTGCCAGTTGGCTCTCACACTGTCCTGCTGAAGCTGCTGCTTGCTGCCATCTGCCCTGCATGGGAAACGTGCCCTTCCTGTGACTGTGATCCTGGAGTCTCGGATGCCTCCTGTGACACCTGATTAGATTATTTTATTAGCATTGCTCAGTTTGTGTAGCGTGGCAGTGAGGTCTTATGGGTCTTATAGGATTTGCTGTTGGGAACGCTGAGATTGGCTGAGTGAGGTGGATGCCATTGGTGTAGCCTGATTGGAGAGCCAGACTGGTTTAAGCAACACCAGCAATACCCCAGGCAGCTGTCAGCACCACAGGACCTGTGTTTTTCTACTTTCCTGGACAATCTTTCCTTCACTTTAAGCCATTTGCTGAGAAGTGAGCAGTGCTGAGAGGTCAAGAGTGGGCTGCCTGCCTGAGTTTGAGATGGGGCTTGTGGTTTATTCTCAGCTGCAGGCAGCTGTGTTCCTGTTAGGTTGAGCCAGACTTGAGACTCCCGTATTATTTTATAGGCTTTGATGCTGATAGTGGGCAGATCAGTTGGTGCAGGGAGCAGGAGGCTTCAGGGCACTTCTGGTTTTTAATAGTTGTTAATTATTTGGGAAATACTATCTGTCACCCAAAGCAGTTCTTAGATACAGATTTTAGGGCTTGCAGCCACCCCTGCTTCCACCAGACCAATTAAGGAAAGTTCCTTCAGATAATGTCAAGCCAAGATCTTTTTACACAGTTGGGTTTAATTTCTTTCCCTGTGCCTGGATGAGAAAGATTGGTAGAAGAGTTACCAAAGACTTCTTCCCTTTTATTACAACAGGAGAATGAAGCAACGGGTAAATTGCCTCCTCCCTGGGCTCCCACCAGCTATGATTTGTGATAATGCACTGGTATGCAGGAGAGTCTCGATTCTGGAATATACCCCCAAAGGTTAATTTACGCTCTGTGATATTTTATTTTCTTTTGCTCAGGGTGGTTAATAAAACCTGTTATGACATGCTTAAACTGCTTAAGAAGCTCTGGGAATAAATGAGAATTTTTCTATGCCTCCCTAAGGCATTTTCATTCCTATCAGTAGTTGTTTGTTCCATTTGAAGGACTGCCAGAGGAGAAAACGTTAAATGACTGTGCTGCTGCTATAGCTTCAAATGGGATTTATTTCCTTTGGATTGTGATTGGATTCTTGATTTGGCTGAACGGAGAAGGCAGAGGAGCGTGTGGGGGTACTTTTTTCCCGGAGGTGTTTTGAAATACATCCGTCCTTTTTTTTTTTTAATATGAAATTGAGAGCCTCTCACTGCCATGCCAAGTGAAATGCAGCTTTCTAACCAAATGAGGGTTATCTTCTCAGGAAAATAAAGAAGTGTCTAAGTTATAAGCCATGACCATTAGCAGGCACAGAGGCCTTAACTGCACATGGGGCAGACACTGGGAGGAGGCTGTGCTGGTTTGGTGAGAGTAAAGGTGAATGGAAATGAGATTCTTACCCAGTTGCTTCTGCCCTCAGCATTGGTGACTAGGTAAACATCCCTCCTAAAAAGAATAATTTTTATATTCTTCAGTGCCAGCTTCACCTGATTCCATCTTTCCTTCCTGCAACTTATCCTTTCGCTGTCACTGTAGAGTCCTCTGGGGAGCTGACGAAGGGCTGGACTGCCTCAGAGGTGTTTTTTCCCTTCCCTGTGTGCCTGCAGCATGAGGCTGCAGGAGTGGGACAGCTTACTGTGCGTTTCATGCAGGTGCTTCCCCAGTGTCTCCACACCCTGCCTTGACAGATGGGCATTTCAGAGCCTTTTTTCGTTTGTTTGTACACGTCTCACTTGAAAACCCCATACTGGTTCCTCTGATTTCACAGCAAACAGCATTTTGATTCCTGTAATGCACAGACACACTGCTGATCTCTTTGAGAGTAGGGGTACACAGCCTTTTGTACTCCTGTATTTTACTCAAACTCTTTATGGCTTGTGTTGTGTTTCATGGCTTCCTCATCTGATATTTGCAACTTGGATTTAACTGACTTTTGGAAGAAATACGTGTAACCTGCTAATGACTGTGCTGTGTTTGTCGAGTGGCACTTCTGAGGTCTTAGATCAGTGGGTTTAAATCCTCTGTGTATCTGTTTTTCAAAGCAAAAGCCTGAGTGATTAAGGAGCTATTAAGATAAACTCGTTACTTTTCTCAATGCTTTGAAATCCTTCTAGAAGAAGTAGATATAGACATGCTGAGTGTTACTCTCTTAAGCTACATCCTTAATTCCTAGATAGGAGAACAGAGGACATGGGGATATAATGTAGTGCCCCTAATTTACTGCTGTGGCCTCACAGGCCAAGTGATTCCACCTCTTTCCCTAGTTTCCCCTCAGAGATAGTCAAACTGTATCATAAATGTTAATATACTTTGTTTCCTTCTCAGACTAAGAACTTGGACTTCCGCCGAAAGTGGGACAAGGATGAATATGAGAAACTTGCAGAGAAGCGGCTCACAGAAGAGAGAGAAAAGAAAGATGGTGCGTAGTGTACTGACTCTAGGCAAGCTTTGCTCATTTGGCAGCAAGTCACCCAAACCCTTTGAGAGGCAGAAAGCAGCTAGAAGTGAAATCCCAGAGGGAAATAGCAAGCAGCAATAGCTGTCTTGCTTTGATCCTTTTTCCTGTGATTGCCACTGAATATATTTTTTTGACAAAAGTAATTACTGAGAATCTTTGCCTCTGTCTACCTGTTCTTTGGGGAGGGAGAGGAACAAGAAGCCCCTAGAAACAAGGAGATCTCAGAGTATGACTCAAATCGGAGCTGGTGATACCTCATAGATCTACCTGGTTCTGATAGGAACCAGGAAATAGTGAGGAGGAAATTATATCCTTTACTGACTTTTAAAAAACAAAAAAAGTGCAATTTCTGCTTGAATCAGGTAGTTTCCAGGTTCCTGGCAGATCCCTCTTCAGCAAGGGCAGTGTGAAATCCAGCATGTCAAGCTTGACCTTTTCTGATAAAGTTTGTTTTTTTGCATGTGTCTAGGCAAACCAGCTCAGCCTGTCAAAAGGGAACTTCTGCGGCACCGGGACTACAAAGTGGACCTGGAATCGAAGCTGGGGAAAACTATCGTCATCACCAAAACTACCCCTCAGTCAGAGATGGGAGGGTAGGTCGTGGTCTTTTTGTTGAGGTCTCAGAGTTGTGCTGGTGAGACTAGGGGGCTGTGATACAGCAGTGAGCCCTTACGGTGCTCCAGGTGGTGATTTCCTCCAGTGTTTTGAGCCTGATGCAGTGGTGTTGCACTGTATTGCACCAAAACTGGGTCTTCTGGGGTAATGTATGGGAGACACGCATCAGGCTGGGCCCCTTCTGACATTATTACCTGATACCAGTGTTGCTTTGCCCACCTGTAGAAACAGCTGAGGCAGATCTCTGTTGCCTGCTTTGGTTTTGTTAGCCAAGAGGCCTGCTTGCACTGAGACACTACCGGCTGTTGATCTGAGTTTCTGGTTTGGATATCTGTGCACTGGAAATGGGAGAAACATCCAAATACCTCTCTCTAGGAATGGTATTTGGCCACTGTTTGTGTGGATCATGTTCAGCCAAAGGCTGGAAGGATTCTTAGTTCATCCTAAGCCGTCGAGATGTTGAAAAGAATACATTAAGTTTGTGCCATCATAAGAGTAAGCCTCTTAGTGTCTCACCATCCTAGCCTAATAGCCAGCAGTGCCAGGGAGGTGCACAGCCCTAAACAGCATCCAGGAATAGAAGTGCAGGCCCTGGCTGGGTTTTTGCAACAGCTCTTAAGATGGGTAGAAAGTACTGCTGTGTAAAGCAGGGAGTGGCTACTGTGAGGCGATGGGGGTGGGAGGACTTACCTCGCAGCCAGGTGAGAGCCTTCAGCAGGCTGCGGTCTGGAAGCCTGGGCTGCATGGCCAGTCCTGCCTGGGAGGAGAGCAGCCGAGCCCTGCGGTGTTGCAGAGTTCATCCCACCCTATTGGTTGTGACTGGAAGGGGAAGATTCTGTGGCTGACGTATTACGGATCAGCTCATGATTTCTGTCATCTGTCAGACTGGAGTTGGCGTAAGGGTTGGTACCTCCAGTGTTAAACCGGGCAGCTCTGTAAGTCCAGGGTGTGCCCTTGCACATTTCTTTCCACTGGGGTGCTCTGTAATGGAAGTGGCTTCCCTCTTGCCCTGGAGAAAGGACCCGTATCCCAAGTGACATGCAGATTTCACATTGTAGATTATCTTAAATAGTTGTTCTGTGATATGAGGTTTGTCTCATGCTTTGGAGTTAATTTTTTTCTCTCTTTCCTCTCAGATATTACTGTAACGTGTGCGACTGTGTGGTGAAAGACTCCATCAACTTCTTGGATCACATCAATGGCAAAAAACGTAAGGATAACATTTCTGCCTTGTTGGAGGGTTGGTTGAGTTGG